AATGAGACTAAGATTATTTTCTCAACAAAAATACAACAATTAAAGTATCAATTTTTCATTAAATTAATTGTGGTGCAAAACTGACTCCACGAAAACAATTTATAATATCTTTGCCAGAATAGTGATGGTAACACTAGATCAGAAAATTTTCTTTGGAACATCCTACAATATATACTTTGCCTCTTTCGTATTCTATATGCAAATATAAAATAAAATATTATTAATATCAAAAACTCATATATGTGTTTAGTTTTGCTCATCATTGTACATCTAGCTAAGGTTCATATGGTCGCAAAGAATCTAGCTAAGGTTCATATGGTCGCAAAGAATCTACGATACCTGCAATTCCTGGTACGCGAAATTAAGCTGATTTATCTTATCGTCCTTCTCCTGCATCTCTTTCATCAAAGACATATTCCCTTTCGTCACCATCATACGATTTTCGCATAATTGCTTGCGTAGCGTATCCGCTTCTGACTGCCATTTTGTCAATTCTCCAAGATAACTTTCCAGTTCGCTCTTGTGTTGTTCTTCCAATCTGACGAGAAGCGACGAGAGTCAATATTCTCCACATCCAATTCCTTTTTACAACCAAATGATTTATTTGTATTGGATGGAAATGACATAACGCGGTTGTAAATTCGACGTTTTATTTTCCAATCTCGCTTCTATTTTTAACCAGTCAGAAGAAACTTTTTCAATTGTATCGAGAATGATCGGACAGATGGCAATGTTAATGTAAGAGTACATGAGATATACAGTACACCCCTCGAATTTTATTTATCCTAATTTTCATCTATCAATATATTTTGTGAATCTGAGTACCTAAAAGTAACTACAGTCTTCGAATAAAAAGTAATTTCAATAAAATTCTAACCGAATCCTCCACCAGTAATAAAATCAAAGCGTCTAAATCTCAATTCTCCACCAATTTACGACCTCGTCATATCCTTCCCTTCCACAACAATACCTTTCCCTCATACGATCCATATGTTTGAGCCTTTCTTCAGCCAGCCGATGCCACCGATCGCTCAATTCCCTAGTAATGCTCAGATCTGCCTCCAAAGTAGAGACCTTCTCCTGCAATCTAGCAACCTCTTCAGCCTGCATAACGATGTTTCTCATTCTGTCGACATCGTCAGTCCTCGCCCCGGTTTCTTCTACCTTCTCGATCAACTTCTCCGGCTCGTCTCTTCCATCGTCCACTCTCTGTGGTTGGCTTCTCCGCGTCTCGCTTTGCATGGACAGAATACGAGCGCGCAAACCTCGGATTTCTTCCTGTAGACGAGCCGCAGCGTTACTGTGCTCGTCTCTGTCTTCCTTTAATAGATTCTGATATCTGGCTATGGTCTCCTCCTTCTGACCGAGCAGCTTCTGCAAGCTGTTTATCGTCGACTTCAACGCCAGCTTCTCGCTACAATCGCCAGCGGGTGAAGCTTGCACGCGAGGCAAGAGCTTGTACTCCTCCTCGACCAGCTTCTCTTTCCGCGCCAGCTCCAGCTCCTTGCTTTCTATTACTTTGTTCAGCGAGTCAACCTTCGCCTGATGCTCGGCTAACTGCAGTTCACACTTGATTAAAGCGGAGGAACGCTCGGAGGCGAGCTTCAATGCCTGATTCAACTGCTCTCGGAGCAATGAAACCTCTTGATCGTCCCCTTTCTTTTCCACTGTTTCTTCCTTCGCTTTTCCCACGCTTTCTACCGTTCCTTTCTCTTTCTCCGTGCTTCTTTCTCTACGTGCTGGATCTTCTTCATTTACTTCCTGCTCAGCTTTCTCTTTGGAATAAATGGCTTCTTCCTTTTCTTCCATTCGTTCCTCTTCTTTCGTCTGAACTTCGATTTCGTTCGTTTCCCCCTTTTCCAAGCAACACGCGTAAGGATCCGTTTGCATTCCTCTTGGTTTCGTTTCCACGGTTGTTTGAGTTGACGCGTACCTGCTTTCCAGCGACGTTTGACTAGCTACGTTAAGCGTCCCGGTTTTGGAATGGTGATCCTGGCCCTTGTTCCACGCTCTCTGGATCTGTATCATTTCGTGCTCCATCTCGGCTATCACCGATTCGTACTCCATGAATTTGTTGCTTGCGGTTTGCAGCTCTTGCTCTAGCTGCGTTATCTTTCGTTTGTACTTAAAGTCCTGATCAATCGTTAATTGTTCGTTTAATGTAGACGGTATTATTTAAAGTACATCTTATTTAAAGTACAAAACCGAAATCGATAGAAGATAGATGAAAGTCGAGAAATTAGATGGTACTACAGATACGAAAAATTATTAAAAAAGAAAAAAATAATGTACTGTTGTTATCGGTGTTGAATGTTAAAAATTATGGACTTTGACGAATTCACTTTCAAAACGGAAACACGGAAAATATTAAGCCGAATATGCGGCTATTAGCGAAAAGAACATTCGACTAAGCAATCTGATAAAAACACGTACATTCATAGTATACTGCGAATATTCCGAGAACTGTTGCACGATATCTTGGACGCTGTTACTTCCGATCTGTTGTTCCAGTATATCTTTCAAACTCTCAACGATTTGTAAACGATTGGTTAGCATTTCCTGCTGCTGCTTAGCATTCTCGTGACACTGTCTCGTTTTCTTCACCTCGGAATCGATATTCCGACGTTCGTGTTTCAGTTTCATCGACAACGAGACTACTCTGTCCAAAGCGCTGATCGAAGTCGAACCAGCGTACTGATTTTGCAGAAATCCTATGACATCTATGTACATTCTGCAAAAGATCCCAATCAGTGGAATGCGCGTTCTTACAGCGAAGAGGTGTCCGAAGCAAATCTTTCTCCAACGACAAGCTCGT